AACTTCATTACCTGTAGTGCGTACTCGATGATAAGCCATCGACAGTATCACTTATTATGACGATAATTATAAGCAATATTATTACCAATATCCAAAACGCATGAATAAAAGTATACAATAAAACGAACGCCGATTAACATTTTGATGTTCACGATAAGCTCGTTCTGAATCGGCTTTGTTCATGCTTAACAGATCACTATGATTTTGAGTAGATGAGAATTTTGGTGTTTCATACTGAGTACAATTGTAATTATCCCTTTGCGATGAATTCTTCCTTCCATGCGATTCCTGAATTCGAATAGATCATTTACTACACGCTCAATTATCAACCCACTTGTCTCTTTTCGGAGGTAATATGAACAAAACACTTCTGATTAAAACGAATGCGAGTGAAAGTATATTACGAGAACGGAAAAGTGCGGGATGTCGGAAGAAATAATAGCTCAAAAAAGAGGTGAAATAAGTAAAAATTCGATCTGAGAAGGCGGTATGAAAAGGAACCGTATAAAAAGAATAGACCTGAGAGGGTTCTGAACGAATCCAGTTCGACTGGCCTTCTTGAATACTTCTCAACAGTGCACGCGCAGTTACACCTTTCTTTTTTGGAGTTTGACTCAAAAGTGAAGTTTCAACCGATTTCTGAGAACAGAAACGATTCATTACCGCTATATGTTGATTTACAAACTGCACAACATTACATATAAATTAAAAAGATAATACAACATTGGTTCCAAAATGTCAAATTCAGTTACATTAAAAAATATTCGAACCATGTTATTAATAATACTCAGAACGACGACGATACATAATACCAAAAAATTGTGTTCATAACGATTATATCAGTGACAGTATTGTTCCTTTTCTTATATTTATCAATTACACTAACAATGGCAGCGATGAAAATAACAAGAATAAAATATAGTGGAACTTACTGAATCAGACGACCCTATATGATTGTGAAAAGGCTGTCCATTTAAAGGGGTAACATTCCGATCACTCTCAGCTTCGGGTTCAATTAATTCGACAGTCGATGTGGACTGTCTTACCGGCATTTTCTGAAAGTTTATGTTGGTTTTTTCTGGTTGCAACACTATTTAAAAGTATAATAAACCTGAGTAATTATCAGTACTATCAATATCATTACAGACCATAACTACTCCTTCCTTTCTCATATTACTGACCTACTGAAATGATCAATGAAAAACAACTGATGTAATCAAAGGAAACGAACAAACAACTGGATTATATCAACATTTGACAATGCAAAAGAAACAACCATAAACGATTGGATAATAATGAATAAACATACCGATGAAGATGGACGACTGACTTGCTGTGAATGATGAGTGGATTCATCATCGCTGCTGTCATCATCCGTCTCGTCATCAGTAAATTTCTGAAATCAACTTAAACGATTCTCGAAACGCGTTTAATAATTTCTTGTTGAAGTAATTCGTCTCTTTCCTCAAACAAGCTTTCTTCATGTGAGAATAGTAACGATACAATTCACATAACTGAATATGCGTAGCCTGGTGAGGAATTGCTGCGAATTTATTCCACTATTTATTTCTGACCAGTCATTCAAAATAGTCACATTCTTCTCTTATGGTAATGCAAAAATATTTTACTGATAAAAATTCGGATATCCAAAAGCTAAAACAACAAACATAGAAA